TGCAAGTTTGTCCGAGCTTATCATGGACTTTTTTCAGACGTAGAGGATTCATTCGGTTGTATTTCGATTTGATTTTAGATATTTCCGAACAATTTGCTCGCACTGTATGACATTTTGATTATTATTTTTTTAAGTGTTTCATCCCAAGCAAGGCGGGAAGGCACTAGCACGCAAGCAGTTACAGAGAATTGGAGTGAGTACAAATGGGAGTGATAGAGAAAAGGGTGAAGAGAAGGATATGGGATAGACGAAGGCATCTGGAGACGTCGATTGACATTACATTACAATAGTTGGAGATTATGGATATCAGGAAAACAGAAAAAAGGGGAGGGAGTTCCACAGGCGAGAAGTGCGAGACATGAAGCTATTGGAGTAGAAGAAACGGCTACGTTTAACACTTTCGACAGTGCAAGAGTGAGAGCAAGATGTCAGCCTAGTTGTACGCTTAAATTCATGAAGTCTGGGAACCAGCGAAAGCAACTCATCGGAGTAGTTACCATGAAAGTATTTGTAAAACCACAGAGACAGGCGACGGCACGTCTGTGAGAGAGCGACTGCAGACGAGATGCCATATCGGGGCCAATTACATTGCATAACTGTCTCTGGAATTGATCAAGGTCTTATTCTCACTATTTCTGCTTTTCACCGTTTCAAACGATCTGTTTAACTTCAGTTGAAATTTTGTGCAGAATTTTAAGTTTGGTCAACTGCGATATATCTGGTGTGTTAGGCGTGATGCTTATATAGTTGGACATAAATAACTCTAGAATAATTATTCGTTTATCAAAGACAGGTTATGTTATCTACACATGTCAGAGGATTGAAGGAGGAATCACATTCTTAATTCATTACACTACAGAAAACATTCATATGAGTTACACATTATCCTAAGAACATTCCTATAATGCCTACTATTTTATTATCGTGATGGTATCTACAATTCTCTATTTGTAATGCTATTTTTTCTTCTTGGTTTGCCAATAGGATTTCATTAGGGAAAGAGTTTTTTTTTCTTTTCTACATGGAGTGTGAACACGGAAGCGTTTTGATCGGAGTTGTCTAAAGTACAACACTTATTTTATAATAGCATCAGTTGTTTTATGACAAAAATAGGAGTTGTAATAGAACATTTTATGTCTTTCTCCAATTTCGTATCTGTTGTATGTTTTCAAAACGCTCAAGTCTATGCTATCCGTTTCGTAAATACGCAATATAGAACGGTAAAATAAGGAATATCCTGCATTGACATTAAAACTGGAATTGACGAGAAAAACAAATATTAGTCGAAAAACTGGTTAGTAAAATAATATTTAATCTAAAAATTAGAAGTCTATTAAATTTAAAAATACAAATATAAATAAATAATCTCCATAGCAGTCTAGAATCTAATTGTCATAAGGAAAACAACGACTATATGAGAAACATCTACTGGCTAAACATGAATTTATCGATTAGAAAGGATGTATGCACAGAATGACAGGATTCCAATGTGCGATCAATTTTTACTAGTTATCATATATTTCTTATCAACGTTACTAATTTAAAGATCGTAGATTAACGATATGTAGTTTCGATGAAAAGCAACAGAACAAATTAAATAAAGATTAGCCAATCTACATATAAAATTATGGGCGCGTCTGTTAGTCCGTTCGTCACACCCTTAAAATTACCATATATTGACCGATCGAAACCAAAATTTGGTGAGAAGTGTAAACAGGTAAGAGGGTACAAAATACAATTGGTTTTTACTAAGGCATATAGCTTAGTAAAATAAATGTTCATTTATTTTTTTAGAAAATTAAAAGCTTTATTATTTAACATACCAAATGCTCCCATTATTTTAAAAACAATTTAATGACTAAAATAAAACGTTACTTATTTAATAAATATACAATATTGTTTTCTGCATATAATTTGTTGAAGTTTTTATAGATAAGGAACACAGTTTCCAGTTCATCCTGCGTTTGCGAGAATTATAAGCAAATCATAAAGCCAAGAGTTTCATAAAGTTGGAATTTGGCTCCAGAAAATAAATATTTACGCATGGCTAGTTGCATGTTGCATTCTCAAGAGTAAGAAATCCTAAGAATTTATACTTCGCTGTTAAAAAGATAAAAAAGAACTTAAAATATTGTTGAACAGGAATTCCTATAAAATTAAATTAAATTAAAAAAAATCATTAAACCGTGAAGTAGGTTTTTTGTCAAAGTATTTTTTCCAAACAAATCAGCTTATTCAATTGAAGGAAACATCGAGTTCGTAAATATTTATATAAATGTTAGCGATAAGTTCAATAATACTAAATGCTTAGAGGATTTCAATACGCGTGTTGCCAAAGAATTCTAATGTTGATAAAAATGATAATACGTTATCTACGAGGTTCCGACACTTAATTTTTAGTAGGAATATTTATACATTAGTAACTTAAGTAGACGTGGTAGTGGTACTATGGTAATATGCGTTGTTTTTATTGGGATACTAAGAGCAGTAATAGTAGTGTTTATAGTAATATATATTTAAGCAATTAATACGGGGGTATGAGCGAGTGGCTTGAAGGCTCGATTTCCGACCTGGGGACCGAACATAAATCCCACCATTATCGAAGGTGTCTTTTTTTATTATCCCAGCATGCAACACATTTGGAAATGGTTTGAATGCCATACCACTAACATACGCATGCTTTGTGAGTGAAAATACGTAGTCGGAAATATTTCCTTTATAGTTGTGCTAGCACCACAAGTCATCGTAAACGAAGGGTTTCAGAGTAGAGGCCTTGATCTGTGGATCATACTTAAAGATGCACTCTTACCGAGAAACTGTGTGATCACTCCTATAAACTGTAATTGAGGTCAGATCAGCCTCATATTCTTTTATACTCTGTGTGTCTTCCGAACGTCTGCGATAATGGCTTTTCCAATCTCCTATATCGTGTGGCACTTAGCAACGAAATT